GCCTTTCTGAGATGCCCTCCATCCAGAATTATCCTAGGAAAACTCAAAGTCTCTTGCAAAGCATTGAATGTTCCACTTTCCTAGAGTATTTATAAAAGCGAGAAGCTCTGGATGCCAAGAAGTTGTCTGTTATAAACACTATCTCTCCAGCAGAAGCTGGTAATTCTGCTCCTTACTCTTGCTGACTATTTGCAAGTATTCTGAGTACTTCTACTGAAATTAGTATGGTTACTGTCAGAATAAGATATAACTAGTGAGAAAGAATGTTAGACCTAAGCTGTCAGTTTTAGCTAAGCCTTGAGAGGCTTATCACTTCCTCTTCATTTGTGAATTAAATGGTAAAGACTTAGAGAGCTATAGCACATTTTAGCAAAATAAGCTAATTCACCTACTTTAAATTTTAATAATACTTAATATTTGGCAGTAATTTTAGTCAAAGAATACAAGAATGTTGATTCTAGTGGGTTTTTTTCCTCATTAACAAAACGATATGCAGTATAGAAGTACGACTAAACTGGACAATATCTAATTTGTAATTATGATGCCAAATAGACCTTTTCTAACTTAACATGTCTTCTATGATTTTATATATGATTAATAAAGTTAAATTATGCTAGAGACATATAAAATTCACCCAGAGACTCCCATACTGTTGTGCATCATAATTTAACTTACAATTCACCAGAGTAGAATTCTACTGATTAGTATTTGCCATGTAAACTGAAATATGCTGGTGAAGAATTAGTCTTACTGATTGAATGAAGTAAATAAGAGTCCCACCTAATAACTAATTAAAATGATAAGTAAACATGAAAAAAATTTACAAATGAAAATTAATGTCTTTTACAATAAAAACATTTCCAACAGGAAAGAGAAAAGACTGTTCCTGGCTGTTGTGATCCCATTACACTAGAACAATTTAAGAGACTATGTAGGATTACTCAACCAATTTATGATGTCTGGTATTCAGTATTCTGTTTTAAGTACAAAACATCTGTGCAAAGGCTCCCTAAAACCCAGATTATTTGTTTCCAGTTTTTGTTGTGGTGTGTAATGATGTGGATGTAGTTATGAAGATGGTAGTGCAGTCTCGTCTCTCTCTCTTTCCTATGTGACAGGTTATATGCTGTATTGGCTTTTGGTGAGGGTATGACTTTTTCCATCCCCCCTGTTGCTGCCTCATAGTGCATCTCTACCTGTCTGTAAATAAGAAATAAGACTGATACCGTCTTCTCTGAATTCTGAAAACGAGCTTTAAAAAATTGCTTATTTCTTGGGTTCTCTTAGGCTAACCTAAATATTAAAGCATGTTTGCTACAGTTGAGACTGCTGTTTGATCATATGCCTTCCACAGGATGAATCTTGTGATTCCTGTGAAATGCTCAAGCAGAGGAAGAACATTGTCAGCAATGTTCACTGCATTATCTCTTTAAATGCAGTGGATACTCCTTTTGATACAATCATGTGGACTGGAGGGAATATTTATTGCCACACACTACACAGAGAAAAATGGTGTCTCTGCAATGAGTATCTCCCTAAAATCTATAAAAGGTTGTCCCCTCTGCCCAAGACAAAGATCACCCATTCATTCTTTTAAATGTAGGTTCCAAATTGCTTATAATTTGCTGCTAGATCAGAATGGGAACCAATTTAACGTCATAATATCACTACATTATTACCTTTTATGATCTCATGTAGTTTATTGTTAAGGAGTGCAGCGTCTGAAGTGGGTGATTTCATGTAAAAACAGTTCACAAAGTTTAAATTGAATATGACTGAAGAGGTTTATTGCTTCATAATTGATTGCTAAAGCAGCAAACTCTACATAGAGGGTCAGTATCATAAATTCAAAAGATAAAACACTGTCTTAGACACCTGCAAAATGCCAGCACATACATTCAAATTTCTAAACAACTTTAAGACTTCTGTGAACAGAGATGCACTCATGCACACACACACATATAATGGCGTGCATACCCACCCCTTCTCAGAGAATGCATGGTACAAAGGTGCTCACTCCCCACACAACCTCCTGCAGCTCTACAACACACACATACAATAAGAAAGCATCCATGAGGTTACATACATATAACTGAGGTGTGGGTCTCTATCTGCTGCACTCTGGCATTCTCGGTGCCTCTGACAGGAAGTGACTCTGTCAGACATGGACAAATGCCAGCAGGGTGACTTCTGGCAATATCAAACATATTTTCATTGTTATTGCTTTTCTGTTATCCTCTGCTTTGTTTCCACCATTATAAATTTTTTTTTTCTTTTATACTTCTCAAGTTGAGTCTTTGTTTCAAAAGGCTTTTGATATTCTACTGTTTAATCTTACTAATGTTTGTTGTTTTCTTCCTTTTTAGTGTCACTAGGTTTTGGGAAAATGCCCTCCTAGACAGTTTTGGATGGTCCACTCAACCTCACACTTGGCACACAGGTTCCTGTCTTATCAACTCTTGTTATCCAGGCTACTTAGCACAGAGCAGGAACTGTGCGGGTTAATCTCTTGTGATGTTTTTGTCACTGAAAATAGTCCCATGTCCTAGTCCAAGCATAACTGTCAAGTGTTTGCAACTCCTGCCATAAGTTCTCAACATAAGTCTTCAGTTGCATGTTCTGTTATCAATGGTATTACAACTCTACTTTGTATAGGTTTGCAAAAGTGTTAGAATGATGAAATCGGTTCAGACACCTCAGCAAACTGATCTGTGGGATTAACTTTTTCATGAGTTTTCAGACAAACAATTTTGGAAGATGTATTCAAGTGATCATTTTCTAACATTTACAATGTACATGAATGAATAGACATATTTCAGCAGACCACTTTTATCATGAGTGTTTCTCCCGTGTGATCACAGGGAGTTTTTCCTTTCTTTGTACATGAAATTGAAGCTATTTAGTCTTTGCGTATTAATGAATGCTGAATAGATGTCTGCCTTCTTCATATACAATAATCATTAAATTTTTAGGACATACAATTCATCCTTAATCAGTGTTAAAGTTCTGGCTGTTGGAAGAATTTGGAAATTTTGTCTTTTTTTCATGTGCAATACTGGGAAATCAGACTCAACACTTAGAAGTGGCCATAGAAGTCCCTCTCTTTCTAAGCAGTCTCTTCAGGACTGATGCATAACTACTGGAAAATATTGAGAATTCTATCTAGATATCAGTATTTTATGGGGGTATTCAATAGAATTTTTCCATTATAAATAGAAAACAAACATGTCCTTCCCACACCTATATATTTTTTTTCAGTTCACTCCCTTCCCTTTTTTTTTTCCTCCACTCTAAATGGAAAACAAATTTTTTTTTCACAGATATATCTTTCTGTATTTTCCAGTTCAGTTACTTCCCTTGTTTCTGTCCAGAATCTCTATACTTTCTTAATTATTTCACTCACCCCACCTCAAAATGTTAACATTGTCCAGTTTTAGAAGACACATTTCTTAAAAGTTGATGTGTCAATAGTTCAAGACATGCAAGGTGCCTGACAAAACCTTTTATTTCTCACAGAAACATTATTTACTGTTGTATCCATCCTAGAAGTGAAAGCATTCCTTTGAACAAACTAATAAAAGAGACACCATTGCTACTTACAATCTCTGTTCTTTCCTCTGGCATGTCAGGATTTTCTTTTCACACTTTTTTAAAGTAATCTTGTATTTGGTAAGCTTTAGGGAGCTTACCCCAAAAATGGCTAAACCATTTTATTATTTTTTTTTCTTATGCATAGAAAATTTTGCAAGGTGTTCTGGTGATCATATATATGTACAAAGAAGGGAGCAGAGCATCCAGACTTTCATTATCTACAAAGACAATACTAACTCAAGACAGAACAGCCTTGGGAAAGCATATCTACTTTCCAGCAGCTTCATAGGCTACTGAGTGCAGGCTAAGGGAAGTATTAGGCTACTGCAGTCCTAGTCATGATTCATTTACAAATATCCCACCTAAATGCAACAGCAGGCAGGCAACTTGGCCTAGACCTTGCAATGCAGTATTACTGAAGCCATATTATCAGAGAGATAGGTTATGGGAGTAAAAATAGTGAAACACTGCCACTACTGAGTCACAGAAGGATTCTGCAGAACTGCTCTGGCTTTGACTGTAGCAATAAATCTGTATTTGTGATTACCCTTGCAAAGCCTTTTCCCACAAAACATTTCCTTAGAGAGTGGTTTTGGGCAATTTCTCTTTGTTAACTTTCTGATGCTATTATTTTAATGGTAAGAAATGCTCCTCAGTTCTGTATGTCAAAAGGAAAAATTGATCCAACCTAGGCTGACGATCTGATTCCAAATAAGATTTTGATATGTTTCCTGTTATTCCTTTCACAGCTGAGGTTGTTTGTTAGGAGGAAGGGATTCCCACACATTTTTTATGCTGCCCTTATTTCTTATTCATACAATCTAGATCTCACTATGACTTTTAAAAATCTTATGTTGTGTCAGATCTTTCTTAAAATTATTTATATTACAGCACTGATACTAGTTATATCACTGTAAATTATATAAAGATATCAGTGCACGTATATTGCTGTAATATTATGACTATGGATGCTTGTTAGTACATCTTACTTGTATCTTGTAATTTTGATTTGGTCCTCAGAAGGATATGCTAAATTTTAAATTTGCTTGAAAATCTTTTACGTTTGACTGTTTTTTTCTCTTTTCCAACTTAAATTTATCTGTGAAATGGAGGAAAATGAATGATTGTTTTAGTTCTTCAGTTTGCCATTTATCATAACCTTATGGTCCATAACTGAATTATCAAACCCCATTCCCATGCAGGACTATAACTGAATTATCAAACCCCATTCCTATGAAGGACTTTAAGCATTGTGAAATTAACATGATGGAAGGAGCCAAACATTCTAGATCAAACTGCCTTTATTTGTCTAAGGAAATGTCTTTTATAAATTGAGAACCCAAGTAATATTGCTTTATGTGTCCTGATTTATACAATATGTATTCTGTGAGCAGGATTTTAGTAGAATCATTTAAACCTTTAGGCCAAAAATTCTTTGCCTTTGAGTTCCATAATTTTACTTTTTATTTCTAGAATACTGCTCTTCTAATAGTTAAATTGTCATCAGTATGAATTGTGCTGCAGTTAAGTACGTGAATGTGTTGGCATTCTTGTAGATCCTGGTATTTGGCTCAGGCTGTTGAAGTTTATTTGCAATGGATCCGCTGTTCAGGCTCCTCTTCTGGCATCATGCAAATAAGATATGCAGGGGTAGGAAACGTAATATTTTCCATCAGACATGTCAAGGAGCGAACACAGTAATCTTTACCTTTAGGTCTTAAAACGTAGTAATAACAATAATAACACCACCAGTAACACAACATCACTACCAACACATAATCACCACACCAACAAAACAATAATAGTAACATTATTATTATTATTGCTAATAATAATAATAATGCACTTTCATTAGATTAATTCTTTCTGTGGCTTACACTAAATTCCAATATTACAGTATTGTTGTAATTCTTAAAATCCAAAAAACAACCCATTCTGGTTTGCTTAGGAATCTGACTTTGTTTTCACTATAAACCAGTTGAAATTACAAATAATGCTTCTGCCATTTTTTTAAGTTAGCTGGGCACATCAGAATCAGAATATATATATTTTATAATGTAGAGAGATTTTTAATGTCTGAATTGTTTCCAAGGAATTGAGTTAAATATGGTAAACCACTTAAAATAAAATTTGAGAAAATAGAACTAAAACTTAACATTAGATACAATTATTTCCCACCTGAAATTTTAGTCCTAATTAGTGTCTAATGGTTACAGCTTGACCCTGTGTGTTAAGAAATTTACCTCTAGATTTTATCTACAAATGTAAGTTAAAAAAAATCAGAATAAATGTTTATAATTCTAAAAATGCAAATACCATTAGCTGCTTGTTAGCAATGCCTTACAAAGCAACAAATAAAGACACAAATAAACTCAATATATTATACATCACCATAGAGAATATTAATAATTTTGACTACAGGCATTACAAATTAGGAAGATAGAAATTTCTCTGGGGAAAATAGCTTAAGGGGTATAATAGACTTGGAACTTTCAACAGTGTGGCTAATGAATTATCCAGTTTTACCCCAAACTGAAGCTCACATCTTCACTGCTCAAAACTAATCAGGAAACACTCATCCCGTTTATCATCATGGATGGTAATGAATGGGGAATTTAAAATATTAAATGGGGATTAGACAGGGCAGAAATGTTGTGCTTAAAACCTGTTACACAGTAATATCTGCATGTTTTGTGCCAAATATTGGTTCGGTTTTACTTTACATAATTTTACAACATGCTAATTAAATCCTGTGTAAAGTGGGTTAGGGAAGGAATGCTGTCAGCCGCGTAAAGCTAAGTGGCCTCTGTACGATGGCTGCACTAGGAGGTGGTAAGATCTCCACATACAGCAGTAGGGGTACAGCATAAAAGTTCTTCCCACGGGCTGCAGGGAACCCTCGCCCCACGGGGGTACCTCCCAGTGCCGCAGGGACAGCTCTGCCGGGCTCCCGGAGCCACTCCTGTCCTCCTCCGGCTCTGCCCTCGGGGCTTGCAGGGCTGTTTCTCACCCAGCTCGACAGCCGCGGCTGCCGGGCACCGTTTGTCCTTCCCTACCCCGGCTTTTCCGAAGCGCCCACCAGTGACTGAGGGGTTCAGCTCTGCCCTGCGGTGGCGCCATTGGACACAGAGGGAATCGGCTGTGTCCGGCACCACCAGCCCCGGCCTCAGCTCACAGGGGACATACACACAGCCAGCACCCGGGCACCCCCCACAGAAAGGAAAACTAATGTTTCCTTAGGAGTCTATAAAGCTATAAAGGTCCGCCTATCTGTATGAAGTAGCAGGCTTTATATCAAGTGGCGTACACTTAGTTTGCTACTCGCTTTTAAAAAACAAAAATGTCTTAAATTGCTTTTCGTAGTTATTTTCCCTAGACAGCAAAAAGGATAGACTGTAGTAATGGCTTACCAGTTGCCAGACTCTTGCCAGTGCCTCTAATGACATGTGGAATGTTTGCTAGCCACATCCATCAGAGTGCCTTTAGCTGCAGCCCTCTCCCTACAGCAGTGCAGTTACATTAGAAAAGAGTCTAGGGACCTGTAAAAGGCAGGGAAAAGGAGAGAGTACTGGCTGCCTTCAAAGGAGGGTGGAAGGAATTAGGAAGACAGACTAGAAAAAGACCCCACACTATCACACTCAACAACAAATCAAATCAGGATGAGGACAGCACGATGAAGTGCAGGACAGGAAGATAGCCATAGGGCATCAGGGTCAAGAGAAGAGCAGACCAGGGAGAAAGAGAGCAGGAAATCAAAAAACCTTAGACAGAAATGGAAAGAAATATCTAAACATAGGTACATACTTTCCTAGTATTACTTCTCAATGAACGAAGTGGGTGCCTTTGTCTAAGTACACTTGTAATTTCAAACAGTCAAGGCTGTGCTCCACCAGGAAATTACTTTTCCAGGATGTGATGTGACTTCTGGAAACATCCACAAGAATTTAGAAATTAGGCTGCATATTTCAAACACTGAAATAATGGAAAAAATTGCTCCTTGTAATAGGGAAGTAAAAGTCATATAATCCTGAACGTTTGCAGAACATTAAAGTTTTAAATTGCAAGCTATTAATCCTTCAGGGATCTTTGCTACCAAGTCACAGAACCATAGAATCATTTAGGTTGGAAAAGACTTTTAAGATAATCGAGTGCAACCAATAACCCAGCACTGCCAAGTCCACCACTAACATCCCTAAGCATCACTACACATCTTCTGAATACTTCCAGTATCATTTAATGACACCCAACAGGCAGAGGACATCTCATGTTGCCTGTCAGAACCCCACATGTGATGGTCAAGGGCCCCTTTTCTGTGTGTCTCGAAACAACTCGAAAGAGAAGAAGCTGAGAGAGGCTGAGCACCTGTTGGTGGTGAACAGCGTGTTGTGGGCTGGGGACAGAGAAGGGATCATGCTCCCCGAAGGTGGGGGTTGATTTCTCTTGTTTTCTACCCCTAGGCCACAGAGATAGACTGCCTGGGCAACCGCCTGCCTGGAGACAGCTGCACACTGTGGTGTGGGCAGTTAACTGGGTGTGGGGGTTTACCTGATAGCCCTGCAGAGAAGTCTGGGCCAGTGGAAGCATTACAAAATACTCTGACCATACGAAAAGGCAGTCATCCTGCAGCCATCTGGTGTGTATCTCTCTGCCTTGGGACCTGGTGGTACTGCCAACAAAGGCTGTAACTGAACGAATTTCAGCTTGCTGACTGAGAAGACGTCACTGGATCCCCAGGGTGGTGATCCTGTTTTCTTTCTTTCCTTTCTCCTTTGTTCCTCCGTTGGATGTGTTATAAGATCTTGCCAAGATTTCTGTTCCTCCTAAGACAGTTTAAGGGGAGTTTACAGCAAAATTGTTTTTTTTCATTTCGAGCCTCTGGAGGGCCTGTGGTTTCTCCAACAAACCACACAGAGTGTGGTAAAGATCAGCTCCACATACAGCTGCTGGGAAGGATGGAACGGGGCACTGCACTAGCTTGGTCTCATGAGAAACAAGGTCATTCAAGATGTGTTGAAGGCACAACTGAAGGTGCTATAGACAATTCTGCTATAGACAATTCAACACAAGCAGTGTCGAGAAAAACCATAGACCTTAAGTATTGCATATATTTTCATTAAATAACCTGGAAAAACACAGTGTGCTTGGCCACGGGCGAGTATGGAAAGATGTTGAAATGCCTATGTTGCTCAGTTTAGCGTACATATGGGTTTTTGAAAATACTGTTAAATATAGCTTTTATTTCTTTAAATGAACTTTATACTTAAAATGCTTTCAAATGTCACTTCTTCAGGTTTCTAAAATACAAAGGATTTTTGTAAAATAAGTATGGTTTTGGAAAGGTAATTTCAGAATGATGTTACAGAGAAATCTAGTATGAATGTCTAGTTTATAGATTTGATCATTTTGAATGGCTTTGGTAAGCTTGCTGTTGTGTGCAGCCACAAAATGAATTCCCTGCATCCAGAAATTCGTTAATATGATATTAATTGTATATTTTGCCTTCTAAATTTTGCATTTCTTAAGCGTAAATAATATCGTTTTGAACCATGTCTCCAAATGATGAGTGGAAAAAACAAAGCCATATCCAAAAAAAAACCAAGCAAAGATTCCATCCAGTAAATAACTGGCTTATGTGACAGAAGAAGTCAATTGACTAAAATATTTTCTCTTGTGTGTTTGCATTTTATATTAATTATATTACAAGGGAAAAAGCTGTCTTAATTTTTCCTTAATTCTCTACATATTATTAAAAGTCAGTGGCAGCAGTGATACCTATAGCAAGAAAATATTAGGAGAAAAATGGTGTGTTTACCTTTGGTTCTGTGCCTTTAAATAGTAATGGAGCAGGTGTACTAGGCTCTGCTAATGTTTCACTAATAAAACTGAGAATTTGGCTATTCTATAATTGGATAGAGATGTGAATGCTGTTAGCCACAAATGACAAACCTGCCTAGCTGCCAACCACTCATTTGCTTGCTATCTGTTTTGAGCCTTTAAGAGAGAGTACCTGGTGCTAAATGCAGCCTGTTGGCAGCTGGTTCACAAGGAATACAGTGTGAACAGGCTTGAGTAAGTTGTCTTTTGCAGTAGCAACAGGCCACAAGGCCACATAGGGTAAGATTTTTTTTTTGTGAATACAGAATGGTAATTCTACTGTCAGCTTCCAAAGAAAAACTTCATTAACGCTGCCTTTGAGGAAAATGCATCATAACCAGTGGACTACAAATGTATTACATTTGCTTTTTGTATATGGAGGATAGTATCTGCAGATTCTCTCAAGTATATGCTCATTTCCTGAAATTAATGTTTAACTTGAGTGATAACTAGCTCCGCAACTTTTACAAGAAAGCTTTTGTATTCAGACCAGGTGTTTAATTCATCTTATCTATAATATAAGTCTAACATTATGTAATTACAAACAGTTTCAGTGACTGGTTATGGCCACCTATGTAATACATCAAGACATGGATGGGCTTTTTTCTAACGCAACAGTATTTAGGGTTTCTGTAAAATTATTCAGACAAAACCCTAACTTTTTGTGGTATATGTGGAGGTAGTGGGACAAAGGGACTCCACCTGTCCAGGAGGAACTTTCTAAATATTGTGAGCTGAATATTTATAATCCTCAATATACATATGTATTTATGCAGTGATCTCCTTAAATGCAATGTCAGCTGTATTCCTGTGGCTGCTGTTTAAACTGAACTTGGGCTGATTAACAGAGCTGATCAGCCCTGCTTTCCATCTTGTAAAAGTGGTTTCCATACCTGTTCAGTGATAGCTTGTAATTAATGTATTTTATAGGAGCATTCTATTTTGGTCCAGCAAGGCTCAATCTTGTCATATAAATGAGTTCCAAGTTAGATGCTCCTTACAAACCCTCTGCTCCCTGTTGATGAGAACTCTACACCTTCCTTCATCCAGGATAACAAGTATTCGTAGACTTCAGGTGCCAATACCTAAAATTTTTCACATGTACATATTAACAACATAATTTCCACTGGGAAACCTAAATGGAATGCATGCTTGGACATTATTGTACTACATGGTAAAAATGGAAATCTGCATGAAATGAATTCCTAACATACAGAAATGCTTTTGTAAGCACTGTGTAAACTGACGTCTATTCTTTCCAAACTAGCTTCTCCATCTTTTCCAAGAGATGAGGTAAAGTTAACCACATTAGTATGCCTATCATAGGATTTTAGCTACTATGTAGGAAGAAATGGTAAGAAAGGCTAAAACCGAGCACAGCAATTGCATATCTGCACGAATAACAGCTTTGCTGAATACAGCAACCAATGTCCATTTGGTCCGTTAGCAAACTTCTACTGGAAACATCAAAAGCCCATATTATGAATAGGCAGATATCCACAAACACTGGTTAGCAGTGGTTTCTTAACATTTTTTGGTTTTTTGTTTGTTTGTTTTTTTCTCAATAAAAGTATTTGTAGATTGTTTTCTCCACAACCTGAAAAAAAATGTATGAATTACTTTTAAACAGTTCATACAGAAAGTCACTTTTTGCTGCTGGTAACTTGTTCAAGGAAGGGTTACTCTGCTACTCTTCATAGGTGGAAATGGCATCCATATGTTATCTGTGTTTGTTTGTCCTGCCCATGTTTCCAAAAAGCATGAATAATTAGCTATTTAAGTGAAAGCAAGATTAATGGAAGGCAATACTAATTTCAGAATGTTGCAGCATTGAAAAATTTTGGCAAGAAATAAAAGAAATCTTCAAAGTCAGACAGCAATTTCATTTTCTGTAACAAAAGTGTTCCTTGCTTTTCTTTTTTCCTTTCAATAATGCAGTTATTAAATATTAAATGTTGAAATTATTAAAAAAGTAAAAGCTCAGTCCCCAGTTTTTATCTTACCTTGTGAAAGCCCTGAAGTGTCTCTTCTCTGTGCATACTCAGTTCATTAGTGTATGTAATGCAATCTTCAGACCTAAAAGTTGCTTGCTTTACAAAGAACTACCATAGAGTTACATAAAGAAGTAAAATGTACGTTACCTTTCATGTATCACTTAACTGTTGAATACTGTTGGATAGAAAGGAAAAGAACAGGAAAGAAAGGTAAATAAGGGACCTTGACAGTAACACAGCCACATAGTCCTCTGAAGCAAAGCTTCCGTGCAACTCCTTCACACTGTCGTGTCCCACAATAGCTCTTGGTTTTGGTGGGATTTCTCTGGATAGAGAGAGGAGCATGTCTTAGGACTTTCTTAGAAATCTCTTCTCAAGGTTATAAGCCTTGTGTAGAAGCAGGAAAATACCTAGAGTAGTAAGGGCCTACATGGTATCCCACTTCAGGACATACATTTCCCAGGAGGTACACCAGAGATAGCACGAGGTCTGAATATCATTTTCAAATGGTGGGGGGTTTTTCCCTCTTTGAAATATTCATATTTAAAGAATTGGCTGGATGGCCGCACACAAAGAGCTGTGGTTAATGGCTCAATGTCCATCTGGAGACCGGTAACAAGTGGTGTACCCCAGGGATCACTGGTGGGACCGGTCTTGTTCAACATCTTTGTGGCTGACATGGACAGTGGCATTGAGTGTGCCCTCAGCAGGTTTGCCGATGACACCAAGCTGTGTGGTTCGGTTGATACACTGGAGGGAAGGAATGCCATCCAGAGGGACCTTGACATGCTTATGAGGTGGGCTGATGCCAACTTCATGAAGTTTAACCATGACAAGTGCAAGGTCCTACACCTGGGTCGGAGCAATCACAGGCACAGCTAACGGCTGGGCAGGGAAGAGATTCAGAGCAGCCCTGAAAAGAGATGGGGGTGTTGTTCAATGAGTAAATGAATATGAGTCGGCAGTGTGCAGTCACAGCCCAGAAAGCCAACTGTATCCTGGGCTGCATGAAAAGGAGCGTGACCAGCACGTA